TTTGAACACTCGTTGATGATGAAAGCGTTAGAATTCTTCGTTAGAGAGAAAAAAATGTAGAAACAAATAATAGGGACCAACACCGCAGCAGCAGTTGCATATTGTTGCAGGACAGAGTTGCTGATGCGATTAAATTGCATGCATGAATGACTTCAAACAACTTCCTGTAACTCCAACTTAGGCCTATTTAAAATGTAGAATGTACGAAATGTAATGTTCATCTAGTCCGTAGCTAATCAAATGACCAAATTTACTTCTGTTGCAATGCATTAACTTGGTGTACAGAAAATGTATGCACATATGTGTGCGCGCAAGTAGACAGAAGCAACTTTATCAACGAAAAATGAAAGCCCTTTTGAGTTTGTGCAAAATGAAAATATGTGATAAGATGATGAAAACGTTATGAATGATTTTGCTTGAAAGATTTGTGGGAGTTTTTTAAAAGAAGATATGTAGGTTCGGTATGTAGGTGGAATGAATAGATAAACATTCGTATGTGTGGGATTAATGGTGTTATAGTTTCTTAATAAAGTGCCTGTTGCGTACGTGGAAAAAAGAAAATATGAGATGCATGAAACAATAAAAACATCAGAGCTTCGAGGATCCAACATTTTATTCTTTTTTCAATTTCAATCGAAACCTTGCTAAAGAGGTCACATTTGTTCTGTGGCATTTGGTTATTTGAGATGGAGAGCCCCATTAGGTATGGTGCCACATTAAGTAGGTTGCCATTTTAGGGGAGGTACCAGTTTTGGTGGGTTGCCACGTTAATCGAGATTTATTATATTAGTGTGGACCTTGTCTGAGAAATTAGTATGTTTACAACTTATTTTTTGGTGTGAACAAGAAACTCTGTTTAAAGTGCCAAAAGTGATATTTTGTGTATTTGATATTAGAAAAACAAATTAAATTAAATAAAAATTGTTAAAGAATGCAAACAAAATGAAATTTCACGTGTTGCTTAATTTCAATTTCTCATCATAAAATAAGTTTACCGCAAATCGGTTTAATAAATTGACGATGATAATAAATTCCTGTTAGTTCAATTGCCAGGACCATGCACTAGTACGAACTACGATGTCATTTCTCATATTCATATGATATCGAAGTACATCGTACGTACTTCGTAGAGCGTACCATGTCATATTACGTGATTCCGCTACATGTTTCTGAGTGCAAAATAATTTAACACATCAAACTGTCAAGGAATTTTAAAGAAGAAACTTTTTATGATCTGATGAACACACATAAACGCACACAAACTGTACACACACACACACACAAATCGCACACACACATCGCCCACACAAACACACACACACGCGCGCCCGCGCGCACTTATAAATTTGCCTTTCTGAAGCCAAAAAAGTAAAAACCTGCAAAAGCAGATAACAGAAGTTGAAAGCAGGCGGAAAAATTGATAAATAAATTTAAATTAACACCTTGAATAATTTTAATTCAAAATAATGAATTTCAAAACAAAAAATATATTGAAAAGGTTTAATCATGTAAAAAAGATATTTTCAAGCAGAAAGAAATCTTTTTACCTTTTACCTAAAATATTTCCTCGGTTGAATTGAAAAGCAATATATGCAAATGGAGATTGCAATTAGGTGGATGCTGGAAGCGTTGAAATGGAAAAAACCAAAAATCATAAATTTGTGCTTCTGATTTCTTATAGCTCCATCTGTTAAGTCAAATTATATATATATATATATATATATATATATATATATATATATATATATATATATATATATATTAATGTATTTATATTCAACATTTAAAGTAGTATATGTAAAGTATGTTTACAAGCTATAAAAAAATATTCAAAGTAAAAATTTAACGCATGCATCTTCACTTCATGTTACCGAATTTTGAAAGAATGCGTTGTACATAACAGCGCAGAAAGCATTAAATATTACATCTATTTTGAAACGTTATCGCCCGACCTTTTTGTCACAAAAATATCTTTTATGCCCGCTATTAAAACGTTTCAATTTATTATCTCTAAAAGAAGAAACTTATTGGAATGCACTTTGATAACGTAGCATAATGTGAAAAGATTCCAACGTGGAAACACTTGACCTGGAAGTCTGATGGATGTAATAACTATTTTGTTTAAACGCATTACCGAGAAATAAGAAACACGAGAAGAATAACAACGGAAGAATGGATAAAAAGCGATACGATGCGGAACGAGAATGTGGTTGTTGTGATAAAAATTAGGCGACACAATTGAAACTGCATGTCACGTTACAAATAAATTACAAATTGTTTTGTTGATGTCGTTTAAACAAAAATAAATCTAAATATAAAACATCAGTTTACGTTGATCAATGAATGCATCATTAAAATAACTCACACCTCTAGAACTTCATCAGCATGCAATCATTATCATAGTCATATCACATATCACGTAAACTTACATTATATTAATAAAACATAACATCAATATCGCATCGCATTAATACACTACAATACACTACAACAAAAAACAAACAACAGGATTGAGAATATTCTTCAAGCCACAACATCAGCGAACTGAATTTTATCAGAGACGACAGAAGCAATAAATCACTCCGATGTATACGTCCATTCCATTATATATATTCTTTGACAACTTAAGAATAAATGACATTTAACCAAATCCAGCTGAATGTTTTTTTTCACGAAAGCACTAAAAATCGCGAAAATATGGCGCAACGTTGGCGAGATATTTTTGAAATGTTAGTGGTGACTTATTGCCCATCAAACTATCGTTAAAAGTGCATAACCTCTCTTCCCAATTCAACCTCTGCTCTTCTGAAAGCGAGATTCACTGAAGGTTTCATTTATCCACAAACGAAATACTTAAGACCACCGCATGCAGAAAACAGTTGCAACTTTTAAATGATGAAACCTCAGCAACCAATTTGACGCAACAAGCAATTAACGACATTTTAAAACAACTTCTACATTGAAAGAACAACAACATCAGCAACTTCATCGCCATTCTCGCTCTGCAAATTTGAATCGACAGCAAATAATTACATGGCATGTTCAGTGTGTTCTGACTGTTTAACCATCCAACCGAACAGATGCATGATGAATTAGCTTCATAATATCAAACAAAAATCTCGCGTTTTTTAACCGTGATATTTTATACTAACGAAAAAAATTTATTTTTATGGATGATTTAGTAAACACTTTGAAAGAAAAATATTTTCACGGTGCCACAAGTGCACAACTTCTACATTGCTAACGTTCTCGTCTTCTAAACATCGTTTAAATTAACTCTACTTCAATTTTTGTCAACGTAAATCGAAAAAGCCACTGAACATTAATGAAGATTAATGAAAAACATATTATGCACGCCATTATAATGTAAGATTTTACACTGAAAACAAGACCACAGTGCCAAAATACCACAATATGCAATACAATAGAAAAATCTTACTTAAAGTCATTTAGAAATCATATGGCATGAAAGTTGGGACTTGAGTGAAGCGATCTCACCCTTGTAAGTATTCATTTATTTGTACGTTGTATATGTTTAATTGTTTAAATGTATGTAATGTTTATGTATTATATTCATTTGTTGTTTGAACGTACAAATTAATGCATGCATTGCACAGTTGTGTCCATTCGTTTGCTTGAATGACTGACTGGCTAAGTATTTTGTAAACGTTTTGTTTATTAATTTTTTTTTTAAATTATTAGATACATGTATGTTCACTTATTAATTTATTTACCTTTGTCTGCATGTCAGAAGTATGTTTGTCTACCCGCTCGTTTTTATCCTTGTTTGTCTTTTTGCCTGTCTGTCTGTTTGTGTGTCTGTCTGTGTTTACACGTGTAGATTGTTTTGATGAAAAGTACTGCGTACGTGCGTAAGATGAAAAAGAATGTTTACACAAATATTTTTGGTGTTTCAATTCTTTTCGTTGGAAGCATTTTATTGCTTTGCTTTTCTGGCTGTTTTTACCGCTACCATGTTGATGTAGTTTATGTTGATGTAGTTTATGTTTATGTAGTTTATGTTGATGTAGTTTATGTTGATGTTGTCTATTTAGATGTTGTTTATGTTGATGTTGTTAGAACGAACTGAACTGTTAATGTTTTTTCTGGGGTTATTGTTATTTTTCTTGCTGTTATGGTTTCTATTGTTATATTGCGTTTCCGTGTAGTTAAGAAGTTTTTGCTGGTTGTTCATTCGTGTTTTCATTCGCTCACGGATTATTTTTATACAGAAAAATGAATATTTTACCACGAGAAAATAAACATTTAATTTAACACTTTGATGTATAGAGGTTTAAGAGAGGCTGTTTGTTAAACCTTCTATACGTACGTAGTTTCAGTTAGTTACGATTAATTATTTTTACCAAACAGTAAATATTTTTATGTTGAATATTTAATTTTTTATGTCTTAAAAATTTTGTAAATTATCCATTTTTACATAGCAACCGCCATTAGTGAAATATTTTTCAATGAAATGTTATTATCGTTGAGTGCATACAAAAACAATGAATTTTAAAGAACGCTGAACATCGTGCATACGATGCACCAGAAGAGGCATCATAGAATTACAAAGTCGAAAATCATTTTTTATGCATTGAAGTTCATGAATATTTTAATGTTGCTACTTCTGTAACATTTAAACTAAAGAAAATAATTGCTGATCAAAAAAAAAACTTCCGAAATAATTTTTTTGTTCTTCAAGTAAAAAAGGTAAAAAATAAAACAACTTAGATACTTAATGGCTTGTTTGTGTTGCATCACTTGGAGGTTTTAACAAAAATATGGACAGGGACACCCAAGAATAAAGACATTACGAAGTAATGTTAAGTGTGGTTGGCAGAAATCTAGTTGCATTTACTGCATAACAGGGTGAGGCCAACATCATAATTCATTAAAATATGAACAGTATACACATACATTTTATAAACAGCCGCATATGTGAATTGGAATAAAACGTGATTAAACAATAAACGCTTCAAAAGAAACATGAAAGGACTCACGTGTTCCATCAAATCGTGTGGCGATCGTGTCCAGGAAGTTGTTCTGTGGCGCCAACAAGCCCTTCCGCCCTGGCATTCTGAGGAAGAGGTTGATGATAAGGAAGAAGATGAGGATGAGAATGAGGATGAGGATTATAGTCGATAGTGATATCACCAGTTATGTTGAAGGTGATAAAAATGAGGATAAGATGGAGATGAAGATGAAGATGGAGATAGAGCCAAGATAGAGGCCAAATATAAATTTATGGAAGATGAAATAGGAAATGGCAATGAAAGTGAACTTGAAGATGAGAGAGATGGATGCATGCATGCATAGAAATATATTGGAGACATTGAAATGTAAAATTTGCGAAATTAATTGTATGCAGTGAGGACAGTAGCATGATACATAAAGTAAATAAATTGCTGATTAAAACTAAAACAAAAAATGAAAAATATTTCTGGCCCGACATAACTATAATTGAAATTATCAAAGATCAAACAAAATAGAAACAAAAAATATTCAAGTTGCAACATAAACTATGAAAATTGTAGTTGAAGAAATAATTGTTACGATGTTTATGAACCAAAATGTTGAAAAACTTTGAACAATTTTTTTCAAAGTTTTAAAAAGTTTTTTGTAAACAAACTCTATAAGTATTTGAAAAAAATTAAAAGTTTACAAAATTTAAAAATTCAAACTGATGAATAATAATAACATAGTTTTTCATTTGAAACATTCAAACCAACTAACTTGCTCCGATCAAATTTAATTAAGCGGTTGCAAATAAAAACTTCAAAACATTAAAAAATCCACACATTGCATGTTGTTAATAGTAAAATCAATCCACTCCAAAGCAGTTGTTAATGTTTCAGTTTTAAATTCTTGCGTTTAAAAAGAACTAGTTCTAAACTTATTATTGTTGCAATGCATAATTTCTTTGTAATGTAATCTTGTTTGTGTTGTCCAGTAAAAACGTTTTATGCTGTAGTGACTGGCGTTAAAATTCAGTTATTTTCTGATTATGTTAGGCTATGTTAGGCTGAATTATTTGATTTGTTAGAGTTATATTTTAGGGTGAACAATATCTTGCACGTGCTGATGCTATTGTTAGCTGGTTGGGTGACGGTTTGGTGTTTTAGCAGTTATGTGTTGTTGATTTCGTTGTTTATATTGTTGTTATTATTATTTGTTTTGTTGTTGCTGCTGTTAATGTGTACTGTTGAAATTAACTTATATTTATAATCCTTATTGAATGTCATCAACAGCTCTTATACATTTTACACTTACAAACAAAACCAACTCAACTACTGATGCAGCTCGAACTAATTTTCCATAAATCTATTACAAATTTCAAATTAATTTTCATATTTTAAAATTTGTATTACAATTAAACAATAAAAAAATTACTTAAAATCACAAAATATCAGGAAAAAATAAATCAAACGTAGAAATAGCCATGCAGCTTGAAAACATACGAGCATATCATTGAGACAAAGTCGTCACTGCCTACCGATATATACCACCAACCACCTTGTTTCAGATCGTTGTTGCACCTTCTTCATAAGATCCTTTCATTTTTTGATGTCATGCATGCATATAAATTGTATAGATGTTTAATTCCAAGTATGCTATTCGTCCTATATACGTATCAATTCATTTATGCATGCATAAATGTAACTAGGTATATATGTTTTAAAAAAAAATTAGTCTGCTTATGTGCAAACGTATTGATTGAGGGCCCGGTAAATATGTTACTGATGCATATGTAGAGGTACAGAACATAGGAATAACAATGCATCATATTTTCGCTACGGTGCGGTCTATTTTATATGTTACTTTAATATAAAATGTACACACGCACACGCACAGACACACACACATATACACACTCACACTTTCGAATTTGCATAAGTATACCTACGCCTAAGTTTTCTCACAGTATATATGTATATAGATGAATAAATGTATATGTTGATGTTTTTTATATGAAATATGTTTGCACACACACACGCACACGCACATATGTTATATATATACATTTATCCGTGCTTAATTGCTGTCTATCACAAATTATAACGCTTTTATAACGACAAACATAGAGCGTACATTTTAAGGAAGGATTTTAACAAGATGATAGAATTTAAAGAATAAAATGAAAACCTCCAAAAATGTGTAACAATTTTTCATAATGTAAACAATTAAATTTGTCCTAAGCAATCTTGCCTGCGTTAGAAACCACTTGCACGCGAATGGAAAGAAATCTGTGTCAGATGTGTTTGTTTGCCTGAAAATTGATACCTATACACATAGATTCAAAAATACATAGATACATATTTGATATATACAAAGATGCAAAGTTACGTAGATACATAAATACATTGCAAAGATATCTGGGGCATTACTTATGATCAAGCATCATAATCTCACAATCGAAACTGCCCGAACTTAATGCTTGATCATTTTTACCATAAATTTTTAATTTTTGTCCATATTTTTTTCGATTTACGACTTTTTTGCATATAACGATATAAAAAATGTTTCCTCATAAATCAAGCCCGTGTGAAAAAAATGAACTTAGCTGGTTAGGAGGTGTGCGACCGTTGGTTTCGCATAAATAAGAATCTTATAAAGTTTTTGCATCATCAGTCAGTTACGTAAATCAGAAATTTTTAGCAAATGTTTCTTATATGTTAATATTCAAGAATGAATTGAGGATTAGTTTACACTACAAGTGCAAAGCAGTTTTGTTTGTGTATTCAGTATTTACAGCCACTTGTATTGTGTTCGGTATAAAATACTGGGTAGAAAGCATTGTTTTTACAAGGTAGGTATATGTTTTTGTATTGAACAAAAATTTTTATCATCCTCACACAATTCGTCGTGTAATGTATATATATTTATTATTCGTAATAGCGCCATTTAACATTTCACCTTTCGTCATTATTTTAAATTATGCCAGAACGCTTTTATTTATTGATGGGCATTTCAAAAACTTTTAAAAGCTATTTCCATTAATAAATTTAAACCATTAATATTCACAATTTTGTTTCATTTATTTTTATTCATTTACAGCTTCCCTTGTAATTATAAATACATATTATAGTGTGCAATACTGCATACAGACGTGTTAAAAAATGTTGTAGGTCACTTTCTCTTGTGCACTTGCTTCAAAAGTATGGTTACAACCACGGGAAAGATTGAATTGCGCTATACAATTGCTCTCAATTAATTATTGTTATCTTGATTATTCGTTATCTTCGGAGTATTTGTAATATTTGGGTTTTAAGAATCTTTTTTATTTATGGGGTAGGAGTAGCAAGGTTTCTAGCGAGGTTTGAAGTGAAGTCGTAATTGTGATTTATTTGGTTACCTGGTTTAGTGTTTCTATTACTGTTGGCATTCAAATAAACGTTCTACAAAGTTTGCGTTTGAAGCAGTTGTATTCATCTATCTGAAATCTTGAGCCTACGGAATAACGAACACTTGACGATCGTTGGAAGCTACAACACTGGTGTTGGAAATATATAGAGATTATTGAAGTTATAACATCGGTGTCTGCAGTAATAAGCGTTACAGCTTACAACAGTATCAACGACAAATACACACAGCGTATATAAATACTCATTAAAACCACGCATCACACACATTGTATGGGAAAAGCGTTTGTTCGTTCGTTTTTTCGTTCGTTTTTTCGTCTGTTTACACACACAAACCACACGCACGCACGCACATATATATATATTATTTTTTAATTTTTTTATCATGTATGTCCATATATTTATGATTTCATTAGAAATTCTACCCTGCATTAACCGCACAATAAAGCATTGTTACAGGAATGGCCAACAACCACACACACACACACACACACACAGCATCATGATTGCATAGGCAGAATCGTAATAAGATGTGCAAACAATTAAACGACATGTCTTAATATGACGTCAGATGGTACGTCATAGGCATTTATATTTTCATCCCGCGTCATCCGACTTAATGAGATGCGAGCGATATTTTTTTGTGAACGAATTTGCATATCGCACCCGCCATCCATCGATGCTGACATGTGGGATGGAAGGATGGATGAGGCGGAAAGATGAATGAATCTGGATGAAACCAACAAAATAGATGAGATGGAAAGATGGATAAAATAGAAGGAAGATAGATGGAATGAATAAAATAGATACGATGGATGAATGTAGCTGTGAAGTTGTAGGATGGCCAGCCAGCCAGCCAGCTTTTTTGTATGATGCGTCACCATTTGCTTCATTATTATGGCATGTCCCACGGTATCCCCACAAACGTCAAGTCGTCATTGGTAATATTTTGTCATCACCATCGTCAGCACCACCACTGTACATTTCATCATTTCATTGTAAGGCAACTTAGCTCATACGTTAAAAGTGACCACCAGATTTCTCCATAGCAGGTTCAAATATATTCTGTCTTAAACTTTAAAACATTCATGCACCTGTGTAACGAATGCATATAAAATATGTGTTGGTCTGGCGGTGTTGTTGATACAGCTTTTGCGTGCATTTTCATTTCATGCTTGTATGCAATCCCATGCTCGCCTTTTCTAAAACCTTCCGGATGATTTAAAAAAAAATTTTTTATCTATTTATTTTCCAGTTTTTGAACGTTGAAGAATTTAACAAATTTAAAATATTTTTCAAATAAATATTTTATGCCTCCAGTGAAATATTTATCAACAACAAATTTCAACTTCGTTCCCCAGATAGCCACAAATATTCATGTGAACATTCAGGTGTTTCGCTTAAGTTACACAAAAGTTGCATGCATGGACGATGCTGACTGGTTGGTTGGTTGGTTGGTTGGCTGGTTGGTTGATTGGTTGGTTGGTTGGTTGGTTGGTTGGTTGGTTGGTTGGTTGGTTGGTTGGTTGGTTGGTTGGTTGGTTGGTTGGTTGGTTGGTTGGTTGGTTGGTTGGTTGGTTGGTTGGTTGGTTGGTTGGTTGGTTGGTTGGTTGGTTGGTTGGTTGGTTGGTTGGTTGGTTGGTTGGTTGGTTGGTCGATTGGTTGGTTGGCTGGCTAGTTGGTTGGCCGGTTACATGGTTGCTTAGTTACTTGGTT